GTTATTTCATGTTTTATTACTGTTTTATTATTACCTCCTACGCGCTCTCACTCACACACGCTCTCCATCTCTCTCTAAACTCCCTTTTACCGCGCTCGGTAGAACTTGTCTGATCTTGGTCTTGTTCGGGGAAATGTTCGGATTGAAAATTTGCAGATTTTTACCTCCCTTCTCCCTGCTCGGTTCGGGGTCTTGTTCGGGGAAAAGAACGTTAGTGTGTCACCGCCTTCAATATTCTAGCGAGAAGAGGTAAAATAAAACGAAATAATATTTTAATTATTTCAGAATGTTCACTTTTGGACCTTCAGAAGTTCAACTTCAAAAATGTTCTTCGGGTCGACTCCATACACACATTTCTGGGGCGAATTTTCAACGTCGTAAAATAATTTAAAATCCATTATCAAAAGTTAATTGTCTATTGTGGCGTTATCTCAAAACGTGCGCTGATTTCAAATCACCATAAACAATGCTGTCCTAATTACTCGAGTATTAAATTTACACAATTACACTTACAACGTTGTAATTACTGAGTGATTGTTGATGATATTACAGCGCTGACAGTTTGTACTACGTACGATGTCGCCATTTATGTAGATGAGATTCCTATTGTTTACAAATATCCGACCTCGCTCGCTGTTTCGACAGTCCGCCGATAATTGAATATAGAAAAACCAAATCTTAAGTGCCACTATATACACATGCAATAACTGCCAGCTTTCCCAATTAATAAGCAGTCTTTCGTAGTACCATGACAAACATCAACTGCCTCACCAATGATAATATTATTTATTCTCGAACTCCATTTAGACTAGATACACGCTATGGATACACAGGTGCTTGCTCCTGCCATTTTTATGTTACCTATTTTACTTATTGTTCTCATATTCGTTTGAACAGATTGTAAAATAAATTCTGATAAAAAAAAATTGTATAACAGCAAAAACAACTTATATTTTAGTACACAAGATCCGATAATGATTAATGAAATTAAAAACGTCTTCTTTACTGACCTTAGATTGTGTAAGAAATGTCTTTGAAGTTAAATATTGACTGTTTTATCAGTATTTATCAGTGTTGTTCCAGACAATGATTTGAAACAATAAAGTCAAGTTAAGAATTTTAATTTAATTTCAGTGTCTACCTATGAAAAGTAAAATCAAATAAATAAATTTAAGTAAATATACTCCGTTCACAAAATATAAGCGGTTGTAGGGAAATAAATCTATCCCCTCCACTTGAATCTACCTCTTTGAAATAAGCTCAACAGCTGAGGTTTGCCAAAAGACCAATCAGCTGTGCTATATTTATTAAGGAAAAAATTAGTGGCTGAACTTCCCCTCAAACCGCCTAAATTTTGTTAACGGAGTATAATAGGAGTCGACTGTTTTTAAACTTGGGTGAATTAAGTTAACCATAAACAATAATGATTGAGCGATAATTAAAATAAATTCTAACTACGAGTTGTCTGTAAATAAAGGTCTCCATCAGCTGTTGCCAGGGTTGTCACCCGTCCCGATTCTGCCGGGACAGTCCCGATTTTGGTTCCTTATGCCCGTATTTAAGCCTATATTAATCCGGGAGGGAGGGGGGCAATGTCCCGATTTTTTCCTGACCTAAGGTGGCAACCCTGGCTGTCGCAGCCAAGCGAAATCACCGCTTTTCCAGCTATGAGACAACTACAGTTCTCGAGTCTTGTCACAGTTTTCAAAGACATGAAAGAAATGTTGTGTTCCCGCCAAGTGTGAATATAGGAAGGGGATCTTCCCTGTTGGTTACTGTTGTCAGTTGAAAGATGTGAATGCAGTGTTTCGTGGTAGAAAATGTGCAAGTGGGTTTGAGTTTGCAGAAGCCTGTAGGCTACTTGATTCCACATAGGGTCCGGCAGTAATTCATCATTTTCCATCAAAACAGTGAATATATTTAAGAAAGATTTCCTATTCAGATTCGTTTTACAGAATCCCAAGGCTTGTCGTAGCCCTTGATAGTCTTGAAGAGACGCCCCAATCTCTCTCGTCTAGTCACAACGCGATTAGCATGGTTACTGCCTCAAAAGAGATTGATAGATGATAGCAGCTACCGACACTATGGAAAACCTCAACGTTTAAGACAACATCAAAAATCCATTTTTGCACATCCCGTCCACTTTAACTTACTCCGTTTTCATCCTTTAGACGATGGACTCACAGCGTTTAGCGACAGAGACTGCAGAAATGTAATCACAGATCGTGAGTTTATTTGGCTTAGAGGGTCAATTTTCTTTCATCGTTTTCAAATACTATGACGAGACTTTACTACTACTGTATCACATAATTCACATGGCCAAACCAGAGGTGATAAGAGCAGGTGGCCAACTTTGAATCAGTAATGCCTGATTAGTGAGCACAAAACACTAACTCTGAGCTAGGCCTACAGGAAAATACCTTATGCCAGTAGCAAATTACATTTGAGAAGAAGTAAGTAGGTACAAATTACCTGTTTTTTTGGTGTATGGTACCTTTTATATCCGACTCAATCGGATTAAACCATTAAAAGTAGGCTACCAATTCAATCAATAACCAAACTCAAACTAACAAAAACATATTTTATATATTGGCTGTACCATAACAATCAATAATCGTGTAGTTGGATAAAGTTTTGACGATTAACTCAATGTAGCCTACCCATTTTACCATATTTCGTCTTTAACTTAATTTACTTTTTGAAAAGTCAGCCTAGGCCTATTAATGGAAAGCATTATACATCTGTTTAGCTAGAAACCAGTCATGATATCCCTAACGGTAATCAGTATGAACTTAATGACAGGCTAGGCTAACTATATTATGATTCCAAGAATGTTTCTCTTTAAATAGACGTATAATGTCAATGTGTGGTATCTGGTATCTATTTGGAACTGAGTCCCAACGCCGGCACTCCCCCACAACCACACCCATAAACTGAAAACTGGGGTTAGGGGCTTTATAATAATAGTGGACGTAGTTACCCAGAACATGAATAAACAATGCAGCTTTAAACTTGTGTTTCGAATTACAGAGACTAGAACTAAAACAATTTGTAGCTTTCCAGACTAATCTTTGGCAATCCAAACATAACCTACATAAACGTACCTGAGGTCTCTGGGGAGAGTCTTCACAATCATATACAAAAATCGGTAACGTCTTTCTGTGAAGAAAAACCAAAAAAGGAAGAACATAACAAACTGCTTCCATCTTTCGAAAAACAACGAAACACAAATTAGAAACACACTGAAAATGAAACCAAACGTGGAAAAGGTTGAGGTCATTCCCTTTTCCCCAGCCATTTTCGTCGTCTCGTCGTCTGCGAAGTGCGAAACCGAACCGAACCGACGCCGAGCCGACACTGCCTTGACAAAATGACAAATGGAAATGGAATGGATGTTATGACAACTAAGAACAGATGGTGACGAATCGAACGAACTGCTCAGTCTCAGTGCTCAACGCGCGAGCGTTTCAAGGCAGGAATTGGACTAGCCTACTGCGCATGCGCAAACCATAAAATTGAGCTGATCTCAAATGAACGACTCTCATACAATTGAAGCAAAAGAGTTGTTTACTGTTCTGTCGTTCTGTCATTTGTCTGCCCCTGCCGTGCCCCATACCATACCGAGTTTTCAAAGTCTTAAGTGTTTAAGTTGTGTGTTTTTTTTTAAATAATTTGAGGTTTTATCGAAGTATCGTATGTTTTTAACCCTTTGAGTGCCAACGTCCGGGGAACCGGACGTTTTTAAAACAAGCCAAAAGTGCCGACGTCCGGCCGACCGGACGTTTTTAGAATGAGCCAAAAGTGCCAACGTCCGGCTGACCGTACGTTTTATTTATTAAACATCATCACATTACATCAATTCTCTTGACAGGTGATTTGTCACAAAGTCTAATACTAATACTATAGCCTACTACATTTTAAAATAAAATAGCTTACAAAAGAAATAAAGCATATAATAAGCTACAAACCTATGGGAGAAGCAATATCTTTCAAATATACTCATTTTCCAGATATTCCTCTAACGAGTAAAATGCCCTCTCCAAAAGGAAATTTTTTAAAGATAGTTTAAATTTAGAGAATGAGGCAATGTTTTTAATCCCAGCGGGTAATTTATTGTAAGTTTTTGGTCCCATATACTGAGGGGATAAATGAAAGATTTTAAGCCTATGTTGAACTGGTTTTATAATATTTTTGAATCTTGTGTTATGTGGATGAGATTGTTGACAGTCCATGAATGTGTCGAAATCACTTTTAACCATTAATGCCAATTTGTAAATATAAGAGCTAATAAAAGTTAAAATTTTAAAATTAATAAATAAATCTTTACAATGTGTTCTACGGGAGACTCTGGCCATTAATCTTACAGCTCTTTTTTGGAGAATAAATATTTTTTTGGCCTGGCTTGATGAGCCCCATACAGTAATTCCATAATTCATAATCGATGAAAAATATGCGTGATATACTACTATTTGTGTTTCTAGATTAGTAGTATCCCGAATTATTGTGAGAACAAATGTTGCTGAGCATAGTCTTTTTGATAGGTTTTTAATGTGTTTTTGCCAATTTAGTTGTGAATCGATTTCTATTCCCAAATAATTTATTGACTGTTGTGAATGAATTGTAGTTAAGTTTGTATTTACAATTATTTCTTGGTTAATATTGGATGCAGAAAACTGAATTAGTTGAGTTTTTGCCACATTATTATTAGGCCTATATATAATATAATAATACAGTTATTGCCACGTTTTGTAATGATCGAACAGTTGTCATAACAACCGAATGGATACTCGGATTCTTTTAACCCATATATTAACATTGAGTCGAAAGTTACTAGATGCGATACATCGATTTTCGTTGGTCGAAATATCGAAAATTCGATTTTTACGAAATTTTAACCTAAAAATCGCCAGATCGCGCTCGGCATTTTTAGCGCGACCTTCGGGAAAAATCATCGGCATTTTTTGAGCGTTACTTTTATTTCTCGCCTGGCACTCTAAGGGTTAAGTCGGATTTGAGTCAAGGCCCCACTTGAGTGTATAAAAGATTGTTTATTGTTATGCGTTCTACCGTGCCAGCCCCGTGCACCCTTGTAAGTTAGTTTTTATAGTCTTTAAAAGTGTTTGTTGTGTTTTGTTCCAAGTGTTGTCCAAATAAAACAATAAGCATTAGCTGTTATTATGCTATTGTATTGCATTTACTTAGTTTAGTAGCTCTTAAGTAAAATTTTATTGCTGTATCATCACACAGTTAGGACATGGTTAGGACTACCTACCGACATTTCCCATAAACATTGCAAAAGGATGAATCTTATAATTATATAAGAACTGTCTAGGCTGTGTGGTAAAAGGCACTTACAAAATAAGTTACCAAGCGGTGTAACTTTCATATTAGAAACCCTTGGGTGAGTTGTATAAAGGCCTAATCTTTAGGTTGACACATTTAACCCTATAGGCCTAGCCTGTAAACCATTAACTGTTTGGAAAAAAGTCTATGCCTTAGGCTACATATGGTCCTTTAGCCAATTAAATGTTTAGGCTAACTAACATTAAAATAACTTAGGCCTTGGCTAGGCTTTGCATTACGTTGGCGTAGGGCAAGGCTTGGTTCCGCTATCAATAGACAGGCCTACACTATAGTACCCTACTAGGTTACTATATTATACTTATTGGGTATCTCATTCTTTGGCGTTTCCTGTTAAAGGGAACATTCATTATTATCGATAATTTCTTTTCGATATAAGCTTATAAATATTTTTGTTTTACTTCACGATCCATAACTTATTCCTTCTGTTATCTTCAAACACATTTAAATGATCTCTACTAATTTAGAAGTAGGCCGAACCTTGTTTAGCAAACATTTAATAGCCTCTTTTATTGGATCAAACTAAGCTAAACTAACCTAGGTATAACATAACTAACCAAACTTGCTGTATGATCTACGTTACCGTTTCAAAATTTTGTTTAATAACAGAAAAGGCATGGGGAATGGCTGTCAAACGGAATTTTGAAACGTTTGGCCTAAGTTACAGCAAGTTTAGTTGGTTTTGGTTGGTTTAGAACATAATCAATTCAATAAGTTCTTATAGTTTAATTAACCTTATTTGTTTAGTTGTTTGTTGATAGGCTACTAAACAATATTTATTTAATCCTTATCGAAGTTGTCAAACTGATATGTTTTAATTGGTATTAGGCTATCAATATAACGGACAGAAAAATTAAATTTCGATATTCGAAAAGAAATTATCTATAATAATGAATGGTGGAATTTATATTTTATATTTAAGTATTCCCTTTAACAGGAAAGTACCCATTCTTTACATTATACTTAGCCTTTATAAAGGCTACTCATACACACATATAGGCTCTAACTTAATAACTTAGAATGCTGTAACCTTTTGAAAGAGGCATTTCCTCGCGCTGTTGTAATAGTCAGAATATTAAAACATTGTTTGTTTAATTTAAATGGCGGTTTGTTTGAAATTATTTAGAGTAGGTAACATGGCCATGAGAAACGTGCTATTTGAAACTCCAACGAAAGAAAAATATACGTTAAGTTAAAAACTATTAAATTGTAGTTATTTGTAGCGCCCAAAAACTGTTGTGCCGTTACCTACTTTTAAGAACAAACAGTCTGCCATCTACTTAGTGATGTAAATTTTTTTATATACAATTTTTTCTTTAGTTGGGGTAATTTTGATGAAACAATACATTTAGGCTACAGTCTTCATTTTATGCTAGAATGTTCTACTATAAACAATGTAGGCTATTAAGTAAAGTCCTTTAGAGAACCTGCAATCATTATTGGGTGAAATAGCAGTTCGTTGTACAAATCGTAGGCTACTTGATATTATTCCCTGCGATATAAATTCCGATTTTTGTTTTGAGTATTAAAGGTATCGTGATATGAATATTTAAAGCCATAGAGTCTTTTCAAATAGACTTTCACACTGTGCTGTGGTGGTTAAACAAGGTTAGTTCAGTTTGGTTTAGTTTATGTTAATAAAAACCAGGTAACACCTAAATACAGTAAATCCAAATTGTTCCAATAGCATCCTCATTGGGTTGGGTTAGTGTTGTACAGTTTTGTATCAAAACTGATTGTCAAAAGCGCCAAATTATACCTAGTCGTGTCTTTCATGAGTAGGCCTAACTTAGCTTATAGAAAAAAGCTAAAAATTTTGTTAATGATACCTTGTTTGTTTATAAACTATAGGCCTACCACTTTCAAAAGAAGCAGCGCAGAACCATGGCTGTCTCGCGCACGTAGGGGTGAAGGATGATGGTGGGGAAGGGCCTGGAGCAGTGGTGGCCCGGATAAGTCGTTGGGGTGAGGTGTCTTTCCCCATCACTCTGACTCTCCTGCTGTCCTGCATGCACGACTCAAACAGGTGCGTGGTTTTTTTCTATGTGGTAGGCCTATAAGCTAACATAACCTAAACGCTGCAATGGTCTGTAAAAGATTGGCGGGTGGTCCTCTTTTTAAAAAGACCCATAGGCTAACAGATTAATACTGTTAATACTGTTCTATGAAATGGCGACCATACAATGTAGGTATTTTAAGCCAAGTATGGATGGAGATGAGTGTAGGATGAGTGGCGCAATCTTGTAGTCTTGTTAGTGACTAAGGCCGACATGTTCCTTAGACACAGCTGTTAATAGCCCATACAGCTAATGACAACTAAGGGACCTACAGTTTATTGTGGAATCCGAACCACATTTTTTCCTCGTGATTAACGAATTGGTCTAATCATTAGGATAGTACTGCGGATTGTCGTAGTACTCACTAGCGCGGACGTTAACCCACACTGTTGCAGTGCAATGTAATTTTCAGAATCAGTCTTCTTCGCTTTGTATTTAGGCTAAGTAAAATTGATTTTCCTTGCTGCATATTAGGGAACATTATTATAGCTCGGCCGCTTAGAAAACGACCTGCGCGCTAATGCTAAACCAATGCTGGAGGAGGTCGTTTTCTAAGCGGCCGAACTATACCATGTTTAATAGCCATGATAAGGTACAGTAGACTCCCTCTTATTCGGACACCTTTTAACCGGACATCGGTTAAACCAGACAACACTCAGTGGAAATTATATCTCTTTAACCAGGCAATTTTATCAGCACATCGGTTTAACCGGACTAGGTCGGCAGGAAGTGGGAGGTAAGCGTTACTGAAACGACTGTTCTTGTGTTAAGGATATGAGTGTTAAGGAGATATAAGGATATAACAGTGATTACTAGTCTAAATACAATGCTCTACTACATTTTAGTCAAATACTGTATATACAGTATGCATTTAAACGGTCACTTTTAATGAGTTTTTGGGACGTCAGTTTAACCAGAAAACCCATTATCCGAACTGGCCTCGGTCCTGAGAGTCTGGATAAGAGAGGGAGTCTATTGTACTGTATATTTTACTACGTTATAGTGACACGAATAAAAAAATAACAGCCAAAACTTCATGCAATAACCCCATAGTACCACAACAATATGTTTACTACGATGTAGGCTTCACATTGAATGTGTTTTATTAAATTAAAGCTAAAACAGAGTTTTTTGTTACAGAGTCATTGATTGAGGTGCTGGTGAACTGATCGAAGACTTAAAAATGTGTTGCTATAGTGTGAGGTGTGATAGTACGGACTGTTGTGATAAATTACCACTGTTTATGATTTACTTTATATGTTTTAAAATAAATGTTCTACATAAACTATTAAAATTGAATGATCATTTACAATGCCATTATTTCCAGCTGTAATATTTGTTTATACTTCTTTTAATTATTTTTTACTTTGTTTCTAAACATAAGTTCTGATGTAGTCAATATTTGCATAATCCCAATGTGTAATCACTTGGGAATGGGCACACGGAAGGGACTAAGGCTAAAGGTGTAGTGACGTCATATCTCTAGTGGGTAATGTCTTCTCTTGAGGCGACACGATTACCGTTACGAAACGATGTGATTCGTGGTAGCGTTTCGGATTGGTGTGCAGGTGGTCCCGGGTTCGAATCCCGCTGGTAGCGCTGACTTTTTGTCAACAAATTGTTCATATCAGCAAGTTTGGTTGGTTAGGTTAGGTTATGACAGTTTAATTTTATAATACTACATTTTAAAATTAATTTTATAATTAATTGAAAATTATAAGTAATTATTAATTAGATTTTATCTTATATAGTTTTTATATTATCAGCAAGTCTGGTTGGTTAAGTTATGTTATGACAGTTTAATTTTAAAAATTAAAAATTTATTTTATAATTTTAAAACAATATTTTATAATTAAAAAGTTAATTTTATAACTAAAAAAAAATTAATTTAAATTATTTCAACTTAGCAGTTCTAGCGGCGAACGCTGACACTACAAGATATGTTAGCCTTAGTCCCTCCCGTGTGCCCCGCCGTAATCACTTGCACTTTCAAAAATATAAAATAGTAAACACAACAGCTTTTTATATACCATTGTTATTATTTATTGGTGTTTTTGTATTGCAATCGTTAAATTGCATGTGTAGTTGCAGATGCATTGGTCTGTTTAAATGTAAAAAGGAACTAAAATAAAATCTGAAAATTCCAGACTAACAAAGATTATTCAAACAAAGGAGTTGAAGTATGTAAAAAATTCCTAAAACTCTTATTTTAAGTTTAATTTGATACAAATATCAAGGGTTGACCTTATTTCCTATATTTTCTCTGGATGGTATTTCAATTTATTTTATAATTGCAATGATTCTGCTTCACTCAAATTCCAGGGCATGGACTGCAATCAACATCAGCCAACATCAAATTCGATAAAATCTAAAAATTTGTTAACTCACTTGTATATACTGTTGTAAGAAAGACCATAGATAAAATATACTCCCTTGTGTTGCTTAGTCTATGGAAAGACTTAGTAAACCAAAAGTATGGCTTTTAATCATTAAAAATTACAATCATGTTTTAGTTAAGAACAAATACAATATTTACAAACAAATCAAATAATAAATATTATCAGGGGATAATGTTCACATCACCACATATAGCCTACCGTATAACATTTAAATACAACATGAAAAATAATAGGATTTCCTGGAATTTTCCAAAATGTTTAAGATCATTCTAAACATGCCAGGCAATTTCCTTGATTATAGCCTACTCAGATAACTCAACAAAAATATTCTAAGAAAATTTGTATATAGAAATCTGGAGAACATTCTCGGAATATTCTGGAAAAGTACTCTGGAATATTCATGGTATATTCTGAACATAAGTTTAAATTATTAATTTTGTCAAGTACCACAAAATAACTTGAAAAATACAAAAAAAAACAATGTTTTTAGGGCAAAAAATGGGAAAACCCAATTTTTAGTCCATTCCCATAGTCAGTATTAAAGTACCGAATACTTCAAATCGTCATGGAGGTAGCTAACAGCAGCAGAACTGAACTGAACTAGTAAGTTATGACTCATGAGTCGACTCGTTGAAGACCAAATACAACTGAGCTGTTCTTTCTGGCGCATGCGCAGTAGGCTAGTCCAATTCCTGCCCTGAAACGCTCGCGCTCAACGCTTGCTTTTTTTTAGATCTCGCATTTCACCCTCTATAGCAGTGTAGCCAACATTGAGGCTCCTAAATAACCTCTGCTTTACCACGCTTAGTTCATTGAATATGTATAACCATAGTCAATGGTATAACTAACTGTTGTATGCTATTTAATTTTAGTTTTTACATTCATGCGTCCTCGGTCTTCGTGAATTTCATAAACTATAATACTTCAAATTCAGTAGGGGACAAAATATACGTTTTGATTTTGTTCGATGGGATTATGCTTACCGTTTATTTCTTGTTATTTCACTACTTTAAAACTATTGTATTCAAATAAAACAATTTATTTATGAACAATGACTTGCGTCAATAGTCAAGACAGGCGTAGAAAAAAAGACTATAAATTATTACATATCCTAGAAGGACATTTTAAAACTGTGACGTGCCCACGACAAGCTGTAGAGCTATTATTACCTCTGTGAAGTGTTTTGACATAAATTTTCTTATTGATAAACAGTATTTTTGGTGTTGTTTAAAACATTCTACTTTTTCACCACCATTTAGCAGATTGCAATGCAACATTAGCGTTCCGTGTCAGTCGGTAATACAGTTCGCATTTCGTCTTTAAGTTGCGAATCTCCTCACTTGGGGCAGCAGCAGCACTCCTACTGCCCTCTGTTTTCACCCAGGGCTACAGTTTCACCACTGTCACGTCGGCAATGCAGTTTATTTATTATATTTGACGATAACCATAGACTAATCTCAACCCAAGATGTTGTATACATCTTGATCTCAACCTATCAAACGGTTTCTGTTGTGTTTGTTATATGTTACGGTATAAGCCATCATGAGTTGTACTGATTTGATTTGTTTGGTTGTAAAAATGGAGCCCGTTTAAAATAAATAAATAGAGTAGACTGAGTAGATAATACCTTAGACCATTAAAATCATTGTCTGATATGAAAGTTACTGTGCTATCCATTAGGTTTGAAATTTCTTAAAAGTAAATTATTTTAGCCTTAAATATCAGTGAATCGTATTAAGTATTTAGTATTCTATGATATTATTTTGATAGTCACTTATCGGTATAATGATCAAATTAAGATTTAAAATAATTGACATTTCTACCAGAACTCCTTTTTCGGGGGAAAACGAAAATATGTACCAGTTTGAGTTCGCAATTCATATTCCTCAATCATTAGTCAACTCACCAAAAGATCAACTTTATGTGAACTACAAACTAGGAAAATAACCTTGGGTTTTACGGCCAATTAATTAATCAATAAAAATACTACTGATTAATTCACTAATACGTAACCTATTATAAACGTATCCTCCATTAACTAGGTAAACGATAAGTATAAGTTAGTTTATATAAGTAAATTTTGTCTGTCTAAAATAACAGTTTTAACTCTATACATTAGGTGATAATAAATTGGTTTGAGTATATTTTTACTATTCCTATTATATTTTAATTTCCCTACAACTTATGTAACACATTGGAAACTTAGACGGGTGTAAGTATTTTAGAGGGATGCAGCTTGGGGGGGGGGCGGTTGATAAAGGGGGGTGGCGATCGATGATGACGTCACCAACCACTTCTCACTTGTTGATCCCTAACCCTCAATCTCGCAAGCTGGGTTGCTGGGTTTTTGAATTTTGTGGCAGGAATTAAGTCAAGTTTACAGGTTAACATTTCTGAGCATTGCAATAGTAATTCTTTTGAGGCAGCATATCTTCTGGTACAATATAAAAGAATCAGTAAGGCCAGTTCAGAACAACGCAAGTAACCTACACACCATAGGAATAGAGACACAATAGGAAATGGCACAATTTGATGCATTCCTTACTTATATGTGATGTATTGTGTTTTTAAATACAGTAGTTACAATACCCCGTGAAATTATATTTTTTTAAAGCAAAGATGTTTTATGAAGCTACAGATGGATGTTGATTCTAAAAACTTTGTAACGATACAAATCAACAACCAATATAAATTTGATTGGTAAAATAATAAATATCGTTTGTGCAAAATTATCGCGTTTATTGGAATTTGTTTTTAATAACGGAAATAATATCATTCTATGTTCAAATTAGTCTACCTTTAGTAATTAATCTCGAAACACTCGAGTTTTGGTCACTTTAGTTCGTGTTCATAATTTAAAAAATTGATAACTCTAACCATATTGGATTTTTTTAACGACTTTCGACAAACTTAACTCTCACATAAGTGATTTTTTCAAATCCTCAAAGAACACTTAATATAATACTTAAACTTAATATAGTACTTACTTAGTAGTATTAGTACTTAATATAGTACATAAACTGCCCAAATAAGGAATTATCTAAAAACCTGTACAATTCTTTCCGAAGAAAAGAAGAACAAACGAAACGGAATCACCGATTAGTGGAAATCGCCATAAATCTAGTAGGTGGGGTAGTTTGATCGGTTTAGGCATTTGCGATAACATTGTAATGATTCAACATCACGCATGTATCGGCGATAGTGTACGAAAAGCAAAGAAGGCGAAACCACGCCGGGAAAATTCCCCGCGAGATTTCCCCCGTCGACAGAAACCTATATGTACCGTGTTCAGCAGCGCTTGCAAATTTAAGTTTAGTTCGTGTTTTTAAACAGTTGTACCTTACGAGTGTATAGTTCGGCCGCTTAGAAAGCGACCTCCTCCAGCATTGGTTTAGCATTAGCGCGCAGGTCGTTTTCTAAGCGGCCGAACTATAGTTTGTACTAGTTGTTTGTTGTAATAATTGTTTGAAAATTCCAATTGTTGAAACCCTAGGTTTTGGGGTTGACATTGATATTGACGTATACTGTACGAATACACTGTGCTCCTCCAATACTTTTCCTCAACGGAGCTGAAAAAAATGGTTTCAATTCAACCGAATTCATAACACCTAATAACATAAATAATTGATGTAACCAATGTATAACTTTAGGTACATATTATAGGTACAACATATAATTTATTGGGTATAGCTAATCTACCTACCGTAAGTTGGTTTACTTAATTAGGAAGTTAGTAATTAATTATTCTTCTTAAAAAGAGTGAATGTTTGTATAAATATTAAGTTATATCAGTGTGATGAGTTAGAGAC